CTTATAATGCTTATTAAGGTAAATGTGAGTATTGTGGATGATGGAGGGAAAGTTGGAACTTGGTTATTTTCATTGCTTGCTTGAGTATTTGTAGGGATTAATTGTTTGCCTATCTAGAAGAGTTGAGACTCTATTTAGAGCTTAATCACTTAAGGTTAGAAGGTTAGGGTTAATGACCTAGTGCTCATAGCTTGCATATTCCTCTACGTTGTTGATTTTTCTTTTCGTTGTGTCGATGGCATGAGACTCCGGTAGTTTAGTTCCACTATTTGCTCGTTAGTTGCTATTGCTCGTAATTAATTGTTTGTTTAGTGTTAATTCATCTCCGAATCAATTGATTAGAATGTTTAGGATTTATTCTCTTTTTGTGATTTTGACAATTAAATAGTAAACGAAGCTCCGAACCGTCTTCATTTGAGAACGACCCGAGTCGGGTAGCTCGGTTACCTCTTGCCCACAAAAATCTACAAAACATAGGAGTGTTTGACATTACCATTTGGCGCCGTCTGTGGGACTTGAACCGACGACCATATGGTGTGACTTACAGAGACTCTCAGAAAATTTTAATTGAATACATTGAGACATTTAGAAACTTATAGAAAAATTTTAAAAACTCACAATTGAATACATGTAAACTTTTCATAAATATCTAAGAGATCTAATTGAATACACTCGAATTATGAAAGTTTTAAAAAGTCTCTAAAATTATAAATTGAATACACCCCTAAATTTCACATTAACTAATGTCAAAAGGCAAAATGTAAATATTAAGAAACCAATAGATAGATTTCAAATGAATTGAACAAAACGGTAAATGGAGGACTATTTGAAAGATCCCGGTCCAATGGTCATTATGACATTTAAGCTTTTTTACACGCCGATTAAAAATTTCAAAAGATTTGAGTATTAGAAAGATCCCGATCCATGGGTCATTAGTGACATTTAGCTTTTTTACACGTCGATTAAAAATTTCAAAAAATTTGAGTAAAAGAAACTTTACATAGACAAAACTCAAAAGTTAAGTCAATGTTTTAATAAAATAACCATTACCACTAAAACGAAATTTTTCTTGCCAATGTTAAATAAAATAACCATTGTCACTAGAACGCAGTTTTTCTTTCACATGGTGTAATTAATAGATAATTGGACCCATTATACTTCTATAAAAAATTGTATATTTGTATTATATAATTATGTACTTTTATTTATTAATTTTTAAAATATTATATTTCAATATCGTTGGAAAAAAAGTTTTTTTGTCCTTTATCTGCAGGCCTTTCTCATTTTGGTCCCGTAAATGGACCGTTTTTGTAAATAGTCTCCTGAGTGAAAAACAAATTAGTTTTTTGGTTCTCTAACTGCCTACAACAAGTCAGAATTTACCGGGTGCCTATGTGGAAATTCGCTCGATTTATTTATTTTTTTTTTTTTTGCTGAATTGTGTGCTTAGGTGGCGATTATGTGACATAATTAAAAAAAATACAAGGAGAGGGATCGAACCCGGGTCTAATGGGGAGTAAAAGAGCACTTGAACAACTTGAGCTAGCACCCATAATGTTATTAATTTAACTTCAATTTTATATCTACCAATATCATTTTATCTAATAATATATATACATTACTCAAATGTTATTTAATTACATTGTTTAATAAAAATTTTATTATCATTAATGAATAAATATTATTTCATTACATTGTTTATATATATATATATATATATCTAAATAAATGAATAAATATTATTTAGTTTTATTTTTTAATCAGGTGTTTATTATCATTAATTTTTTTAATGCTAATATACATTATTAAATTGATTTAGTTTTATTAATATATTAAATAAATATTTACTAATAAGTAAATATAATAAATAAATTATTGAATATATATTCAATAAATAAATATATTAAATAATATAATAATATTTTCTTATTAAAATAATAAATAATTTATAAATAATAAATTTAGTAAATAATAAAAATTAGAAAAATTATAATTAAATAAAGAATATCAAGAAAAAATAAAATAATATAAAATATTTTTATGTATTAATTTAAATATTTTAGTTCGTAATTAATATATTATATTATTTATTAGGTTGTTTATTATATGTAATTTACTAAATATTTATTTATTTATAATATTATTTAATATTTTTTGGTAAATATTATTACTTATTATATTATTTAGTATGTTTATTTATTATATTATTTAATACATTAATTTAAAATTTGATAGATGTATATATTTAGTAAATATTTGTTTTGTTTCTTATATTATTTAATATATTTATTTATTTGATCAATATTTATTTAATACACAAATAAAAATTAATTGTATTATTTAATATATTATTTATTACATTATTTAATATATTTTATTATTTAGTA